GAGAAAGATGTTAATAGGGTTGGGAATAAAAAGGCCCCAAAGACAGTTGAACAAATCTGGAGGCAGGGAAGTAGCACACAATGGAGAATCATAGCAGCAGCAGCATGTCCCAGCCTCGGAGGAGGTAACAATCACAGACTCGCGCCCCAAGCACATGTGGCTGAGACTTGTGTCTCTGGCCTGATCAGATCAGCGTGATTGGCAAACTGCTGGCACACAGGGGCCTCCTTCCTCAGTGATGATCTTGGGGGTGGCTGGAGGACATACCATGGGGGGGTAAGACACCTGGTCCCCCTCCTCATCCAAAACCAACACATCCAACTCTTCCTCCAGAGATTCCTGCCCCTCGTCCGGCTGTGAACACATGCAATTTGTTAGTACAGAGTAAGGAAATAGGAACCTTGTGAGTATGTGCCAGATCTAGGGAAAATCCCCAAATCTGTGAACTCAAACAAAACAAGATAATAGTGAGAGAAGGGCAAGATATTCGAGAAAATGCTGGCGGGACAGGAAGAGAGTAATGGATAAGAGTAGACCAATTAGCACTAGTCACGTCCATAATACACTTACAGTCTTCCTTCCCCCACCTCGACAAGTGTAGAACAACAGGCCAAGAAATCTAAACGGGAGTCAAAACTCCTACTTTTCCCGAAAGCCCCTACCAGAAAAGGATGCTGTCTATCACTACGTTACTTTTTCTCTATTTCACAAAACATGCAGGCTTCAAAACAGAATCAGCCGTAGGACAACAGTACATAAAGAGAATTTACCATCAGGGGTGTTCCCTTCAATGGCTCCATTTCACCTAGATCCCCGGATCGATCCAGTGTTCTATTGTGGTCCCCTCTCTCGTTCAGTGTAGAGTAGTTGTTATCTAGTGAAAAAGTGCACAGAAACATGATAGTCTCCTCTAGTGTATAATACACATTAAGCAAAGTGTGAATTAGGTTCCTCTGTTGGGAACGGATCTTTGCCTAATGCTCTACAAAGGCATTAAGTTCTGGCGGCCCCTGACTTAAAAAGAACTTGAATCTAATTGGGAATATATATGGAATACGGAGAGTATGACATATGTTAATAAAGCTAAACTGAAGAGATCTGTCTATAAAAGGCATTAGAATTAACAGAAGAGAGAGTGAGGAATACCACAAAGTTAGTAAGGGTCTAAAAAGGAGACAGGACTTCAGTTAAGCCTTTGGGAATGAGGAGAAAAGCAAATGAGGAAGAACATCCCAGTAAGAGGTATTAATGAGCAAAATCAGAAAAATACAGAGAGACAGAAAAGAGAGTTAGATCAGCTGGGCTGAAACACAGTACGTGGAAAGGAGACAGACAGAGGCCCAGGGTCAGACTATGAAAGGCTGTGATGTAATACTTTAGGGACACAAAACATGATTCTGTAGTAATGTGGAAAGCATACAAAAATTTTTTTTCTAACTTCTGAGTATGTGGGAATGTGAAACAAAGTAGCTGAATCAAGTTTTACTAAATTTCCTCACATCCTTCCAAATGGAAATGTCTGGCCAGTGCTCTTCCAACGTGGTAAATGGTGAGAGTGCTAGAAAGAACTGCAGAGCCTGACAACTCTCCTCATCCCAATGAAGTATCATTCCATATCCTTAGGCTGGAATTCATCACCTACCTAATGATTTTGTGTTTGATCCCATATTGCTCATCTGAATTTCTTCCCGATCAGGTTTCTTATCTATATGAAGAAAGTTATTCAGGTCAAAACCAACTCTTCAAAATCTATAATCATAAAAATTGTTCTCTGGTCTGTCCTCTCTCCCTCCCATTAACTTTTACTAAGAACCCTCATCAAAGCCTCATGGGACTTAAAGAGATCACTTTCCAACTCCTAATGTATGAAACCATTCTCTAAGCCAGCATTTTCAAATTATTTGGTCTCAGGGCCCCTTTGCAGTCTTAAAATTATGAGGAGCCAATGAATGTTTATTGGTGTGGGCTGTATGTATTAATGTTATCACACTGAGAAATTTTAAATATTTATTTATTTCACTTAAAAGTAACAATAAAATTACTCTACATGAACGTAAGTAACACTTTTAAGGAGCATTTGAGATCTTGCCCCCTGGCATATGTGGTCAGTTTGGCTCAAATAAACTCTTACAAAAACTCTCTAAAACAACAGTAATAATAACGCCGTTAACTTCTTTAAAACAAGGATTGTTTTACATTTTTCACATCTCTTTAAAGTTTGGCTTAATAGGAAATAGCTGAATTCTCATATCTGCTTCTGCATTCAATCTGTTGTGATGCTATTTTAGTTGAAATAGATAAAGAAAATCCACCCTTACACAGATAAAAAGTTTAAAAAGGAAGAGGAATTTTAACAGTCTTTTAGGATAATTGTGGATATTTTTTGATAGTTCACTAATACTTGACAAGTAGAGTTTCTTTAAGGTTAGCATCAATGTGGAATCTGAATACAAACTAACGTCTTCATATTCTGTTAAATCACATTCATTTAATATCACCACTGATTTCATTAAAGTCTTAAATATTGGGATGTTACCAGTGCAGATACAAGTCTTCTAAAATTGTAACTTTCACCCGAAAATTCAAGCAGCAAGTACTGTCAGTTATTTTTCCTCAAAGTGACAAGCTCACTATTTTCAATTTTGAGGAAATGTCTGCCAAATACCTAAGTCCGAATAGCCATAGTTTTTCATTTTTTTCAAGTAAAAATGGTGTTCTACAAAATAGTGGCCAGTCCAAATAGTAACAGAACTGCTTTTCCTTAAGACAACCATTATGCTTTGGTATGGTGCGAAGTGCTTTACGAGTACTTCGTATGTCATCAGCACAGGATATTAAAAAGATGTGCACTCAAGGTAGAAACAATATAATTAATAATTTTCATAGTTCCATCGAGTACATTCTTAAGTGAAACGAGTTCTCTTTTTTCATTGTGAGAGCGTGGCAGAGAAGACCGCGGTGACTAGTATGGTTTGAGGTCACTGCCTGGTTCAGTCTCAGCCCCCAGCACGAACACCACCACCGCTTTTGCGCCATCAGCACAAATGCCAACACACATTCCCACATCCTCAGACCACATTTCAAGAACCCTCATCGAGGCAAAAGCCAAGTGTCATTAAGAAAACAGGGTTACAATACATGCTTAAGTGAAAAAAGAAAATGTCCTCAAGATAAAATGTATGATTCACCTTTTGGGGAAAAATGTATTTGCTCACATGACAAAAGTGTTCAGACAACTCTTCTATATATATTGGCATCAATGATTTTAAAAATGCATTGAAGGGAAATAGCACATTCCCAATAGCAACAGAAATTAAATTATAAAGTTAAAAAAACATGTTTAAAAGCCATAATCTAAAATGGTAATGGGTATCTCTGGGTAACAGAAGTGGTTTTGTTGTTATTTTTCTGGATGTCTGTATTTTCTAATTTTTCAACAGTAAACATGTATTACTTGGTATTATATGGAAATTTAAAAGGACAAAAAAATCATTTTGCAATACATACACATATCAAATCATGTTGTACACCTTAAATTTATACAGTGTTATATATGTCAATTACATTTCAAATAGGGAAATAGACTAGGGTTTACCTTCCAGTCATTTTAAGTCCACAAGCAAACACAGGGGGTCACACCCGAGGTAACTGCCTGTTTTATTTTCTACCAGCTTCAATCCTGAGGTTAAGTATTATTACTCTCTACCAAAAACTAGCTCACTCAGAAATAAATATATACCCTAGTTCTTAGACAGTAAGCACACTACTGAATAGCAGAGGTAAAACAAAAGCAAAGGGATATGCCCCCAGATACTGCACCTGACTTCTGGTTCCGGTCAATGAGAGGGAGTGTGCTATCATCATATGAGTGACTGCTCTGGCTTCGAGAAGCATTGTTTAGATTCACCTGGAAGGAAAAACATAAAATGTAATAATGTCACAATAAGAAGATATGGGTGATATCTTGTTGCATAACAGGCACAAACCTTTAGGTCTCTACTCCCAAATACAACTCTTACCAAATGGTAATCGTAAGGGTTAAATAAATACCTATATAGTGAAACAAACTAGGATATCATGGCTTCTATCTGTGTTCCTGAACAGAAGATTACAAAGGTATCAAACACCCATACTATCAGCAAGAGACATAATCTGCGAAAACAGCAAACTCCATCAATGGGCTATGACAGATTTGGGGAAAATCAAAAAGGCCACCATCCTTCACTGCCACCAGCATTTACAGTATGCTACGACACAAAAGACTAGAGCTGTTTTGGCAGCAAATGCACTGTGGGCACCACTTATTTTGGGGGAAGAGTAAACCAATTTCTTTACTACCAGAGACATGGGTCTAAAGTAGACTTAATATGATAGTGAAACAGAAGAAACCAAAGACAGAAGCATTACCTGAGACTAAGGGGAGGAAAGGTAAATGTCTCAGTCTCAAGAGTTATCCCACCTGAAAGTCTGATTTCTTCCATCCTTCTTTCTCCAGTGGCTTCCGTAGTTCCTTATACCCCCAGATCGTCTGTAATACAAGTGCTGCTGCTCGAACTTCTTTTTCTGAGCGGTTCCTTTTGAGGAAAGTAACACCATATGGAATTTGGATGTAAGACCAGGGAAGAAGCCGAGAACCTGTTCTCTCTAACATAATGTAATGTAAGAATATAAATGCCAAAATGGGCAAGACCAGGTATTCACCAAGTCCGGTATTCTGTCCCAGTGACACAAAAAAATATTTGACGGAAAAGCCTGTTGTCAAATTATGGATCAACATTAAAACAGGTAAGAAAGCAAAACCTCTTCACTTTGCCATGTGAGTAAGAGAAAATATCCTTAGAAACAAAAGGGAAAAGCTCCTTCCCAGCAACTCCCCTCTCATACTTTAATTCTTTCAGTTGTAACTTTAAGTGTTAAGCTCACCCTGATTTGTTGATCAACACCAGCTTCTCGATACCCTGTGTCTCTCGAAGCTTTTTGGCGGCCTCCAAGTTCTCAGCAATAACCTCGTTGATGGTATTCAAAATAGAGACCACGGTGTCCTCAGAGAAATTCTGGGAAGAGCTCTGTTGCCCTCCTGGCAGATTCTTCACCAAGTTAGGAATAGCATGTTTACCTACAGCAGTGAGACAGAAGGAATGTGTGCTGGGAGAACAAGCTGAGTCAGGTTATGAGGTGCCTGACGCGATTCTTAACTGCACTGATCATATAAAGAACAGGTACTATCTCTATGAATCGACTTCATTCTTCTATAGGATTATAATATCAAAGAGAAAAGGACCTGGAATGCCATGAATTTATTGTCCTTCCTATTCCTTTATTTATTCTTTCCTTTTTTAGTCACATTGAAACAATGTGATAGTCCTTTCAGATATTCTAACAAAAACAGTATATTTAATATTATAATAGTTCAATAAGAACAGAGTTATTATAAATTTAAAAAGACAAAAAACTGGGCTCTGCTACTCCAAACTATATTAACTGGGCAAATTACTTACTTGACCCCAAGTTTCCTTATTCTATAAAAAATGGACCTTTGTAAAGTGGTGACAATGAAAACAGACAGAAGTGCTTAATAAGGCCTACTAACAAAGCACATGCTTAAAAAATAGTAGCTATTATTATTTTATTTTTGAAGAGAAATCACTTCTTGTCTTGTGCCTTGTCTTTCCAAGAACGATTTAAACTACAGTTGACCCTTGAACAATACAGGTTTGAACTGTACAGGTCCACTTATATGTGGATTTTAAAAAAAAATACTGTAAATGTATTTTCTCTTCCTTAATGATTTTCTTAATAACATTTTGTTTTCTCTAGCTTACTTCATTGTGTGAATATAGCATATAATAAATCTAATATACTAAATATGTGTTAATCGACTGTTGACGATATTACTGAGACTTCTGACCAAAATAGGCTATTAGGAGTTAAGCTTTTGGGGAGTCAAAAGTTATACATGAATTTGACTATGTGGGGGGGTCAGTGCTCCTAATCGCCCCCCACCCCTGCACTGTTCAAGGTCAACTGTATAATCCTCTCAATCATTTCAATAAGTTATTTAGCTGGGTTAAAGGCTGTCTCTGTATTAGGTGCTGATGCAATGGTTAACACTCAGCTCCTTACCAATTAATTCCTTGTTGCGAGCATCCACAGCCAGATTTCTCAGTGCCCCAGATGCGGCTTTCACTACCCGCTCATGTTCACTGGTCAAGAGGTCAGCAATGGCAGAAAGAGCCTTCTCTTGACGCAGAGCAGAGCGGATGTATCGACCATACTAGAAGTAGCACGTGGAGGAGGAACAGATTACAAATGGCAGCGTACCAGTTAGCTATGTTCTCCCACCTCCAAATCCATTTTCTAAAAAGGTACTCACCGTCCAGCGCCCAGCACACAAGTTCTGGATAGCTCCAGCTGAGGCTTCTAGGATGGCAGGAGTCTTGCTCTCCTTGAGGAGTGAGATGTATATCCGAACCACCTCTGGCTGAAATAAAAGCTCATAGCCTGCACAAGAAAGGGCAAGAAAGCAAAAGATGCTAATCAGTGCCTGCAAAGGATGCTAATCAGTGCCTACAGACCAGGCTGTGGCTGGCTGAAATTCAGGCTTAGCACTCTGGATTGATGGGTTTACACTTCTCGACCATTAGGCTCCCTAAACTCTTCCGCCCACCCAAGAGCAAACTCAGAGACTTGACTCCATGCCTTAATAATATTAACCCATGGTAAAAGCAGAACAGATATCAACTCGTCATATGCAACTCTTCTCTCTCCTTCCTCTTGCCTCTTTTCTCCTAAAGTTTACCTTGGCCTTGCTTGACACTCAGGTGATTCATTTGCTCATTGAGAGCACTCAGGGTTAAAGATTCCTCATCTCAAATGAATTACTTCTAACTTAACTGAGTCCTTCTGCCCGCCTTTACTGTGACTAAGTAAAAGGGCCTATCATAGATTTAACAACATCCAAACTTTTTATATCCTGGGAATTTTGGACTCACTGTATGGATTAATATAAAGATCCAAACTGTGATAAAGAGGCTTCTTATAACGGGTAAAGTTTAAATCCCAAGAACTATAGTGGCTATTTAGGGTACCAAAGTTGCTAATCTAGACTACCATCAGAACCTTATCCTATCCTCAAGTAATGTGAACAGCTGCCATAACAAGGAGTCCCCTGTAAGTTACTGCTATAATACCAGAGCTTCCCAATACTTTCACCATCACTTCAAATCCATAAATCAGAGGAGAGAGAACAGTGAGCATATTGTGTAATCTACTGTTAGGCTACCAAATACTTATCTGTGGACTGTGTTTATGAGACCCTTGGAGACTGAAAAGAAAAAGATAACTTACCTCGAGCAGGACTAGTTCTTTTAGGGAAATCCACTGTATCGTTTGCTGGATCTTCTGTGGGTTTCTTCCCTTTGGAAATTAAAAAAAAGGAGGAAGGGGTAAAAAGTTTAAGAAAGGAAAAAGTCCATCGGGTACATTTTTTATTCTTCAGTCAAAATCTTTGGATCAGAGATGCATCAAGTGAGGAAAAAGAAAAAAACAAAAACAAAAAACTGGGCCCCAGCTTGTCCCAGCAGGGGGCTGTGCAGAAACAAGAACAGAAAACAGGCAGCAAAATGGTAAGATAAGGCTAACTACTGTTGCTACTGCCCTGAGTTCTGACAACTGGGGCTGCTGCCCAGGAATAGCATGCCATGAGCCATTAGTTCAGAAGACCTAAACATGTTTCAGTGGTCTTCCTCAACTGAATTTTCCTACATGCATCCACAGGGAAGGGTTAGGCAAGGAAACACTAGGGAAGCTAAAAACAAAACATGCGAATTAGAAGTAGATAAGCGCCTTAAAAGATTCCACTCACCTCTGGAGAACCACTCATCTTCCAGTGCGTCACCCAAGGTGGAAAGCAGAGAAATGAAGGAGGGAAAATGCAGGAGAGAAGTATCAACAGGATCATGGGCAAATAAGCAGGAAAGCAGAGAGGAAAAGAAAAACATAGGAAACACAAAGGAGGAATGGGGGAGAAGGCCCCGATTAGTTGAGTTCTCGTCCTTCACGGCCCCAATCATTGGTACCAATACCACCACCACCACCACCGCTGCCACTGCCACCACCTTGAACAAAGCACACAACACAGAGGAAGCAGCAGAGAACAAAAAGACATCCTTGACTAGGCAGACTCCTATGCTGCTCGGCAAGTATTTTGCACCTAAAACTAAGTATTCCTTCCTTTCCCAGTCCTATGTTAAAGAGCAAGGAACAAGGAACTAAGACTCACCTTTGCCCTTCTTGGCCCCAAAGCAACTGGCAGCATGTGGCCCAGTACTGTTGGCAACATTGGGAGGTGCCTCTTGGTAACGCTCTGCCTGTGGGATCTCCCGGTGAACTTGATACGACAAGTTGCGAAGGAGGCAAACACAGTTCTCCACAAGCTTGGGAACATAAGCGAAAAGACTCAATGAGAGAAGAGAATGCCTATAGTGATGTCCCAGCAACTACAGGCTTCCATGATTCAGATATTAATACTGATCCTCAAAAGCATAGCCCAATCCATCATCTCTCACGATGCCTCTAAATGCCCCAAGCTTCTCGAAATCCTTGTAGCCTCAGGCTAATGGAAGGTGTCTGTCACCATTTGGTGTATGAGTAGAGGTGGGTATACGTATCTGATGTTATTTAAAAGCCTGAGATAATAGGTCTGGCACTACAGGTACCTCATGGTTGTTGTGAAGAGAATTCACTCAGCCATTAACTGACCTTGCTGTCTGAATCCTTCTGCCCGATCTCAGCCTGAACAATGAAAATGAGGGCATCTACTAAACCATCACATTCCCGAAGTTTCCGGCGAGCTTCGCTTCTCTCTGAGCTGACATTCCTAAGGGGAAAGGAAGAGGTGTCAAGATGACTCGAATCCAGAAATCCTCTTTTAAGATCCCTCAGCATCTACAAGCCTCCTCGTTATCTTTTTTTTTTTTTTATTAACTGTAACAAATAGTGAAGACACACTGTAAGCAAGGCACTGCAGTTGAAAGCTGAGTAAGACAGGCGCTATTTTCAGGACATTTATAACCAGGCGGGGGGTGGGGGGGTAGTGCAGAGAGCAGGGAGGGCATAAATAAAATATACCAACCACAGTAATACAAGATGGAATAGATACTTTTTGTATAGAAGTACAAATGAAGACAAGGCAGAGCAGAGAGGAGTATATCTCCAAGAGAGAAAGAATATATTGTAGCAATTGCAGGACTTAAGAAGAAAAAAATCAGGAAAACCTTTGTGAAATAAAGGCACTTGAGTTTAGCCTCAAAAGATAAATAAGGAGAGAAGGGCATTACAGACAGAACGATCCTCCTCAGCCACCTCCTACTCTGTACCCTTTTTGTTGCACTGATCGCAGCCTGACCTGAAATACAGATAATTGAGGGCAAGGATGCAAACACCAACACAAGCCCCGGACTAGACAAGTGCCTTACGTGTGGTAGGTGTTGAATAAATGTTTACCAGATTAAACGAATGAAGTCGAATAGGCATAGAAGCAAGGAAAATATGTAGGCAACAGCAGGTAAACCAACACAGCACGAGTATGCAACACATGAGGAAGCAGTGACAAAGGCAGAGAGACAGGTTGGAGTCATAGTGTGCAACAGATAGGAATGAAGGCTGAATGATAGGCTGAAGAATTTAAACTTTTTTTTTTTTAAAGAAATTAAAGTTAGTTCTCAAAAATTCAAACTTCATACTCTCAAAGTCCTATGTTACCTAAGGCAGCCAGCTGTGTTGGTGAGCACTGACTCCCACTCAATATGGCGTGGCTTACAATCTTCATTAGGTTCCCTCTCCCAACCAGAATGCGGAATGATCACTTCATCTGTCAAGGCATGCAGTGCATGATCCACAATCTCCATTTTGATTGAGTCATGAGATGAGAGATTCCACAGGGTCCCTGGCAGAGACAAATCATCAGATAGCTCTCCAGCACTCAAGATAATATGTTTGAAGAATGTCAAAGAGAATCCCTATTCCATCATTTCTCAGTCTTCCTCAATAACCAAATATCTTGTAATGAATGACATTCAAGCTTCTGTTACCCACAGTTAAGAAATATATTTTATATTATGGCTCAATACAAACACACATATCATGAAAACAGTTTCATAAAACAACACAAGCAATGCTCTCTGAACTATCTATACCACGGAGTTTCTCAACTTCTTCACCAGTGACTTTTTGAGCTAGATAATTCTTTGTTGTGGGGAGCTGCGCTGTCTACTGTTAGATGTTTAGCAGTATCTCTGGCCTTTACTCATCAGATGCCAGTAACACTCCCTCTTCCTCTCCCCAAGTTGTGACAACCAAAAGCATCTCTAGATATTGCAAACATCCTCTAGGGGTCAAGAGTGCCCCAACTGAGAACTAATCATTATTGCCATTGTCTTTCTTTTGTAATGCTTATTGTGATCCATAAAATTATGTTCCATACACACTAAAGGGTCACAACCCACAACCTGAAAAACCACTCTTCTAAAGCAAGGACCAAGCTCAAATGTCTATATATACCAGGCAGGTAAGTCAGGACAAGCAGATAATTTAAAGAAATTGAAAGAACACAGATAAATGGCAATTGACACTCAGATTCAATGTTTGGGTGACCACTTTCTATATGGCAGTAGTTGGTCAGAGATAACAGAATGTGTGAGGGATTATTGCAAACCAGAGCTCACATGCCTCAATCAGCTCAGACCAACTACTGTCAGGGAGCAAAACAGATCCATTGTTACCAGTCCTTGTACATTTTTAATAAAAGCCAAAATTCTGAGAATTTGAAGTGAAATATTCTGAATTTTAAACATTAGCAACCAATTCTTTAAAACTGTGAAAACCTTGCATGATCCAAATAAGCCCATGAAATCTAACCCAAAGGCCACCAGCTCACAATTTTAATCAAAAGAAAAGGACGAGAAATCCTTCCAGCTCTCAACATCTCTACAAGTAACAGTGACCCACTCTCTAGCAGCTTCCCTTGGGCCTAGAACTCACCAGTAATGACTTCAGTGAGGTCCAGATCGCGAGCCTTTCGGAGCAATCGCACAAGGGCAGGAACACCGTCACAGTTCTTTATGGCAATCTTGTTATCCTGGTCCCGTCCGAAAGAGATATTCTTGAGCGCTCCACAGGCTCCGAGGTGCACTTCCTTTTTGGGGTGGTCTAACAATCCCACCAGTACTGGGATGCCCTTGAGCTTCCGAACATCAGTCTTCACCTTGTCATTGCGATAGCACAAATGCTGCAGATATGCAGCTGCATTGGACTTGACCGCATCCAAGCGGAAGCCTAGCATGGCAATCACCTCTGGCAGCTCTGGCTGTCTCCAATTGGGGGGTGGGGGCCCTCCCTTGCGCAGACTATCCAAGCTTGCTAAACTTCCCCGTTCATGCTGGGCCAAAGGAGCCCAATAGTACTGGTCCGGTGGCACCTCCTCACCAATCATGTCTTCATAGCTCCTACGGTGTTGGAAGAACCAAGAGGAAAGAGGAATACATCAAAGTTGTCAAGTCTGGTTTCTCAAAGAGCTCCCATTATCCCCTCATCTTTAAGGTAGGAGTAACCCCATTTTTATTACGCTAGATCTTCTCTCATTGACATAAATGATCAATTTTTCTTAATGAGGTAATAATTTTAAAGGCATCTGCAATTAAAACTACCCCCTCCCTGCTGTGAAGTTTACTAGCCCAGAGGAGAGTAACAAGCACTCAGAGATAGTAATCACACACACAAAAAAGAACCAAATCCTGCTTAGTAGTGAATGGTACCTGACAGCTGTTAACCTCTCTGGATAAAGATTGAAATAAACCTTTAGACAGCAGAGTTAACCAAAGCAACTGATTCAATACCACAGGAGTCAGCAAACAATGTCTGAGAGCAGTTCTTATAAGCCCTTAGCTAAACAGGACATGAGGCATTTACACAAAGGAAACAGCTGGTAGGATAAGACTCTTAAACACACTTCATATTTCAGGCTCTCCTTATCCTATTTCGGAAATCATAGAAGAGGAGGTGATGAGTAAACATGGTACAGGACTTCTTGCTACACCATACAAGGATTCGGCTTTAGTACTGATGAGGTATATAAGCCTGAACATTAATTTTATTCAACAAATATGTTGGAGACGTGATTTCTAGCCTCCAACTTCTAAAGACAATACCTCCAATTCTGTCAAAATAGAGACTGACCACTACCACACTGGGATACCCAGTCACTGAGAAAACGCAACTGAAGGTAAAGATTATTCCTATTTCAGTACTACCAACAACCACTAGAGGGTGAATCTGTCACACTATTATTTATTCATAACCACCAGGAAGGAAGAGACCCATTATCTGTGAGCTCATCTCGCTCAGTGGCTCCCACAGGAGAGAGAAGAATCTATTGTGTGGAACTCTCCAAACAAGCTCCTTGTTTGTTCCACAAAACCACTCCCACTGTCACCAAACCCTCAAGGTTATCCTAAGCAGAGGGCCTGGCCTGCCCCATAGCTGTCAACATCAACCACTCTCAACAATGATTTAGATGGACAAAGCATTTAGTAAAAAATCACTAGTTTTTAATATCACTGAAACAAATGAACAGGTTATACAGCTAAATTTTGAAAGGATACTAATTACTATGTAAGATTCCATTTTCGTAGGAGAAAATAAAGTCAGTATGTTTACATGCACAGAAAAAGAACTCGAAGGAAATGCACTAACATGTTTTACTTTTATTATTATTTTAATATAAGCAATTACAATAACCAGGATTTTGGTCACTCAAATATTTCCTTCTTTTACAAGCAGTGGATCATGACATTCTTTTCTTTGTTTTACAAATAACAAAGCTGTGCCCAGAAAGATTAAATGACTTGCTTGAAGGTACAGAGCTAGTGGCAAAGGCACAACCAGAACTAAGGTCTTCTGGTTCAGTGCTTTTTCCACTAATCATTCTGCCTTACTATTTTCATTTGACCTTGTATTACTCTCCTAGGCCCCAAACAGGAAGCTACAAATGTTCTTGCTAGCCAAGCAGGTTTCTAAGTTCAGTACCACCCTGGAATAAACCCGAGAACTAAACCCAAAACCCTCTCTATGTCAACTGCCGCAGCTAGGGACAGCAGAGAATGACCTGGCCACCCACGCCCACCTAGGTCCAATCACTTTACTAATGAGGAAGTCAGAAAGGGCAGACTTGTCAATAAGCAGAAGGAGCCAACACCCTGGACAGACCACTTAGATGATAGCTATTATCTACCACTGCTCCAAGTTGTACCGGCTGAGGTCTGGTGCCTTACCCCCACTCCCAAGAATAAAAGGTGAGTCACACGGGAGTTGGATTAGCTGTTTAAAAGTTACCTGAAAGGTGAGTGACTCAAGCTTAGATAATGGGGCCTATATCCCCAGGCCCAACCCAGTCACTGTTAACCAAGCTACTTAATATGAGGAAAATGAGCACCAGTGCTTTTGTTTTAGAAGGTCATGACCTCATACAGAAATTTGGCAACAGCTGCTGGCTATCCTTACCACCAAGACATTCATAAATCTCCCTTATTTCTTATTACTTCTCTTTGACTGGAAAACACTGTCTCTGATTTATTCTAAAGCAGGGTTGGCAGCCCATGAGCCAACCCTATTTTTGTACAGTCCCAGAACTAAGAACGGTTTTTATATTTTTAAAAGGTTGTAAAAAGAAGACACGACAACAACATACAACAAAAATGATATGTGACCTGCAAAGACTAAAATAGTTCTATCCGGTCATTTACAGATAAGATTTGCCAACCCCCTTTCTCAAGCATTCTCTCAAGGCAAACCATCTACCAGTCAAAACATCAATCGCAAAAAGAATCACAAAAGAATCCCCAGGAGTGAGCAGGACAGTCAGACTAGACAGCTGCTTAGTGACCTCTCAAGAGTGTCAATAATGTACGACCTTCTAAGGATGCCACCCCCATTTCACTTTATAATCAAATGTAAGAACCCAGGAGTAAAGTGCCAGGGCTTCTGTGAGATCAAGGTTGATTTTTAATTTGAGATTAAAACCACCGCAGGGAGGGTACAAGAACTGTCTATTCTGGCCCTAAAAGCCTAAAATCCTTAACTCTGTCCTTAGTATCAAACCAGAAGCTAAGGAGTTCACAGGAACAGTAAGTATTCCATAGCCCCGGGCACTGGGCTCCTCTGCAGTGCTCCCTAGCACCAAAAGGGGGTCAGATCTTAGGCAGAAATAACAGAAACTCTTGGCAAGAAGCAAAGCCCACATTCTTCAGGACAGAGACCAATAACCATCACGAGTTGTTTTCTATAACAAGAATATGATTTTTACAATGAAAAAGGAGACAAAAAAGCAAGTCAATGCTTAGTAAAATCAGAAAAGGGAAGAACAGGGTGGCCTTCCACCAAAAAAACAAACAATCAAAAAAACAGGCAAAAGAGGGGGGCCTTAAGTGTCTCTGATCCCAAAAAGCACTTAGGAGGAGAAAGAAGAACTACCCCTTTCCACTACCTTGAAAAGACCCCTTTTCTTGCCTACCTGAGGCGTCGGCGAGGGTCAGAGGGTGTCCCAGTTCGACGGGCAGTGCCATAATCAGACATCATGCCATAATCCAGGTCATCGTAGCCCATGCTACGCTGGTCGTCCTCTAGACCATAAGGCTCTGGATGAAAGCGATGCAGATCCACACTGCTCCCACCTACCCGAACCTGGGGCTGGGGCCCGTAGACATCCTGTCTACTGGGTGCCCGATAACCTTCCATGCTGGGCCTATAACGCTCTTCAATGCGGGTCACCCGACAGACTGCC